ACGAGAAATAAAGAAAAATTTAGTTTTCTTATGCCTTGCTGATTGAAGCTTTTCTGTTCTCCATTCCCACCTCCCAGCTCTACACACACACACACACACACACACACACACACACACACACACCTGTATGCATGCACTCACGCACGCGCACACACACACAAACACATACACATGAAGCAGATACAGAATCTTTCTCCTTAGTATCCAGGCTTTGAAACTTGACAGTCACAGATCCCATTCTGCTGTTTGAGGTGGTGCACCTCCCCTTAGGCTGACTGGAGGCCCTGTGAAGGGAGGAGAATAGTGTGCCCTTCTCTGTATTTCTCACAATGCCATCCAGGGGATTACAGACCATTGTTGCTCAATATATTACTGAACTGAATTGAGTGACTGTCTGTTGCTTAATATTGTAGGACATCTGGTCCTTTTTTTTTTTTTTTTTTTTTTTTGGTTTTTCAAGACAGGGTTTCTCTGTATTGTTTTGGAGGCTATCGGTCCAGCCCAGCCTCGAACTCACAGAGATCCGCCTGCCTCTGCCTCCCGAGTGCTGGGATTAAAGGCGTGTGCCACCACCGCCCGGCTCATCTGGTCCTTTTAGGAGAAGTTGGAGGTGAGGGGTTCAGTGGCATGCTTACAAATGATGGCCCTTTATGTATTACTTTAAATATGTTGTAGGTAAGGTACTTGTGGATGGAATCAGCAAGAATGACAGGTCTACTTCCTGGACTCTGCTCCTCAGTAGCCAGAGACTTGGGGCAGTGGCCTGGATGAGCAGTGTGTCTGGCCCACAGCAGGTCAGCCGTCATCTCTAGTGTCACATCAGGGCTTCTCTGGTGCTGTCCTTAAAGGACCAAAACTGAAAGAAGCACTGGGCCATCTTACTGATTACTCATGTAGGCTTGGCTCAACCAGGTCTGTTGAACTACTACACCCTCCACCGGAGTACAGCAACCTGCTAGTGTAAGCTTGGGGTGGGCACAAGGCTGGTGTGCCAGGCTTAACTGACTCTCAGAACACTGTCTGGGTTGGGGTGGATCATTTACTCTTTGCTGCTATTATTTTTACCCAGCCTTCTGAGGGCTGAAAGTGTCTAGGGCAGTCTGTCGTACGTTCTACCTTGCTATTCACCAAACCCAGCAGATGATTCTGTGTCTTCATTTAGTTAAAGCTCTCTCATTTATATAAATGGTCAGTAGAACTTCATGCCACTATTCATCCTTTATTTGACTGCATCTCTCTCAGCTTCCTAACACCACTCCTCCTCTCCTGTCCACTCCAGGCTGTAACCCTGCCAAGACCCTTGCGCTCCAGGGAAATCTCAACTTCCTGTAATGGCCACTCTGAAGGCCTTGAGAATTCTTGTCAGTCATCTGCCTGTAGTTTCTTGTCATGAATCCCAGATGCATTTAGCTTGAGAAGGTCTGTTATGAGAGCCTCACCCTTCCATTTTCCTCCTCTGCTTAAATGGTTTTCATGATCTTATGCTAAGGTTTCAAGCTCACCCAGTCCTCATTGCTAAGAGAGGAAAAATAAACAACAATGGTAATGTTTAGCTGGTAGCACCAATCAGCTTAGAAAGGTGATGTGGAGTGAGGTGATGGAATTAATTTTTCCCTCATTATTATTAACTAAGTGTTTGATCTTTCCATCTGAGAAGTTGCTTTTTTGTAAGGTCTAAAGTTAGTGGTATTATCCTTGTATCTTCAGGCTTTCTGGCTCTGTTGAAGGAACTCACTTGTTACTTAGTATTTAAGTGCACTACAGCATCTACACAACTTGGTTCCCCCAGGGCAGACTAATATACACCCACTGTTCTGATGTTCCATTCAATCACCTACTTTGCCCTTATTGCCCAAAGTGGCTTCCTCCTTTATGCATGTATTTATATAGTTCTCATATCTATAAGCATCTGAAGTTGTAAAAAACCTTAGTGTGTCCTTGCAAATGACTATGTAGAAGCTCTGACACCAGTATATCAGAATGTTACTATGTTTGGAGATGAGGCCTCTAACTGTAATGAATTTAAAAGATGACTATAGTCAGGCCTGGTGATCTATACTCTCCCTATTTGTGAGGCAAAAGCAGGAGGATTTGGGGTAATTCAACACCATCAAGGCTACAGAATGAGACCCTGTCTTGTCCACACACCTCTGAGAAAAGACAAGTTAAAAGTGAAGCCCAAATGCAATCTGACAGTATCCTCATAAAAGAGGGCATAAACAAAGATAACTTGAGAGATGTGCACATACAAAGACCACATGCATGGTGAGACAGCAGCCATCACAAAGGGGACATCAACCCACCAACACCTTGGTTTAGGATTTTAACCTCTAGAACCAAAAGAAAATAATTTCTGCTATCTATGTTGCTCTGTTACCTCAATCCCAGAATACTAAAATAGTGAAACTAAGGTTGTTTATAAAATTAAGGTAAAATAAACCCAAATAGTGTGTTCTAAGTGATTTACTCCATTCTGAACTCCAGGATGTTATTACTTTCCAAGAAACCCACTGCTATGAGTGGTGCTTTTGGACATGCCCTTTTCTGTGTCCAGAGGTCACAGAGAAGATAGAATTGGATTGTTGTCAATGATATTTGTGACCTTTTAGATATTCGAGGACCTACAAATGACAAATTCTGTCCTTTCAGTTATTTTTTCCCTGAGGCTAAATAACTTAGTCCCTCCAAGTACCTACCAAAGTTTTAAACCCAGTTCATGGGCTGTTGTCCACCGCTTACCAGCATACACACACACACACACGCACGCACGCACGCACGCACGCACGCACGCACTCACTCACATATGCATATTTGTGCTTGGACCAAAAGGACTTAAAGCTAACCAAACAGCTCGAGAATTTAAAAGAATATGTCCGTGGCATTCTTTCACAAAATAAACATTAAGGTCACATCCCTCACACATCAAACCATCCATGTATATGTGTTCATTTGATAAAAAGCAAGGCATTCTGCAGGGTGTCTATATATTAAGAGGATGCTTTCCCTCTGTGAGTTAGCATGAGTTACTAACACATGCGTTAATAACACTAGCCTTGCAGGTGTTTAGAAACATCAAACAACCGCAATAGACGAGCCTCACTGATGAAGAATGCATTTCTACCAGGAGCCACTCCTCTTTTAATCCTACATCAAGGCATAAATACAACAGACCTTGTTTTCCACACAGATTCCCATTTCTTTCACACCCAAGCATATGCTAAGAGTGCTCAAGCGACACTCTTCCTTCAGCTCTGGGAGGTGTCTTGAAACATTTTTAGCTTACCAAACACAAGCAGAGGAGAATCTGTTTCTTTACTCAAGGATAATCATCTTCAACCGCTTATTTATACTGCAGATGGAAACCTATAGATTGAAATAGACACATTTTCATTCTAAAAATGGCATTTACATGCATAGTTAAAAGGTGTAACCATTGTATAGGAAAAATAACCACCCTGGAAATTCTACACTGTTTCCTACCATTCAAACCAAGTACTCATGTTAAGATTAGAACATGTATAAAGTCAAAGAACAGAGGGAGAACATTAGTCTACAAAAACAGAACCACATGTAGGAAAAATGAGAAACCATCAAATGATACAGCTGGAAAGGTCTTAAGACATATAAGCAAAAGATCCATCCCCATTTAAAGATGCAGGCAAAGTGGCTGATTAAAAACTCCAGAACTGTGCTGTGTGATACTATAGCAGCTAACCATCATAACCATTTAAGCCCATCAAAATTAAGCCAGGTTAGAGATTCTGTTCTTCAGTTACACTAGCCACATTTTAAGATCTCAATAGTCATGTGTAGCTAATTGTTCCAAGATTAAATGTCATCATTATAGAATTTCTACTAGACAGTCCTGGTCTAGTAGACACCAGGTTCTAAATATATTGTAAGTTGAACAGTGTGTTTGCCAACTGTGACAATCCATGGTGGGAATCAGAGAGAAAAAACCCACTCCTACACTGAGCGACTGTGGTCAAGTATCATTGACAATTGTATTCAAGAAATATACTTACACATGCAGAGAAATGCGAAGCTAGGGTCAGAAAGGAGTTAGGAAACAACACTTAAACGCACCACCATTCACATTTTAAACATCTGTAAAAGTTGTCAGCTTCCCTTTGTCTGCTCAGAGGATGGGACTTTGTTATTCATCCCTCACATATGCTTAATCTATTGTTTACTTTCAGGACCAAATGTCCCTCCATTGTAACATTTACTTAAACAAATACAACTCCGATCAAAATAGAAAAATGCAGGCTCTTCCCAGTTTACAAAAAAAGGCAAGAACTTTATTTTAAACAAATCCTCAGGTGTATAACATACCACATCCATATCTAAATCAAAAAACCATAATAACAGTAATAATTATTCAAAGGAAACAGAGAGCTTCCATAAAAACGTATTATCTGAATACTACTCTTGCCTAATGATTCAGCTAAATACACAGTGGGCGTGAAAGGTAGAATATGGCACTTATCAATAAATAAGAACAACAGAGGAAAATTGTCTCAGTCCACACAACAGGTTTTTGAACCTTTGGTATATGTCTCAAATAAATATCCATAAACACATATTAGCCAATAATGTTTACTTCCAGGGTTGTTAAGCCAGTGATGTATGTGTGTGTGTGTGTGTGTGTGTGTGTGTGTGTGTGTGTTTAAAAAATAAGTGATGATATAATATGTTGGGATTGACATGGGCTGATTAAGGTCTCTGGTGTGAGCACACAGGTAAATTCAAACCATGGCAAAATGATGTGCAGCTGTGTAGCACAACAAAAGCAGGTAAGAACATGAGTAAGATCTACCAGATAGAAATTCTGTGGCTTGAGTAGATACCCTCCATTTCAACAAAAACCATATTGCTAATACTATCCACAGTCCATAAGTTAGAAGGCAGAAATATCCCAAAGCTCATAAACACATGCTCAACAATGAAATAACCATCTCACAGAAGTATTGGTGATATTCCCTCCCTCCCATCCCCCACCCCTAATAAACAGCACCAGTGCAATTTGAGTTAAAAAATTGGAAATATTGAGACATTCCTAAGGTTTTCATAATGACTAAGAGCCAGTCATACAGGGCTCTACTGCAAACCTCTGCCCTGGCCAGTCTCCAAAAAGCACCCTGTGTAATTCCCTCTAGCTTGCAGATAACTGTGTTAGGGCTAATATAAGGCCAGATCAATGAAAGAGAAAAAGCTGGCATGCTATCCTGGGTTTGAGGGAAAGGGGCATGCTGATGGGGGAGAAAGATCCTCAGGGATGTTTTTTCTGCAGCCCAGGATAAAGGGATGTGCTGAGATGGGTCACAAATTTTATATCAATGAGTATTTGACTCATGCCATTCACCAGAATACAGAGCTCAGCAGAGCTAAGTCTTGCTTGGCAGCTATGCCAGTCCACTATTGTCAGAAGCAGGAAGGACCATTAGAGAGAAAGGCCCAAGGAAGTCCAGCTCAGTCATCTTGTCACTCTATCCAATTTGTCTCTGTAGAACCGATGGTGTAACACATGATGACAGTTCTAACTCTTTCTCTTTGTTGATGAAGACCCTTGAACATCTGTATCCTAGACCTTGACAGCAAGCATCACATAAATGAGGGCAGATCTGTTTACCCTCGAGTCATCATCTGCCTTGGGGCTACTTCCCACCCAGCAGGCCTTCCCCAAAGCTGCCTTTTCACACATAGGCAGAGTCACTGGACTGAGTCCTGCCGAAATTTGGAACACTGACTCGAGGCAGGTCTTTGTTACGTATCTCATAGACCGACTTTCTCTTGGCCTGGGCTCCTCGGACAGCCAGTTTGATCTTGCGCCATCCCAGATGGTTAAGTTCAGCCAGGTTGAGCACCACACAAATGCCACTCACAGCAAACATAAACACCAGAAAGACTGTCTTCTCAGTAGGTCTAGACACATAACATTCCACCTCCTTGATGCAGGGGTATCGGTTACACTCATACAACCCTGGAACACTGAAGCCATATAGAAAGTATTGGCCCACCAGAAACCCAATCTCCAGAGCATTTCGAAACACCACTTGGATGATGTAGAAGCGGGAAATACCTTCCTGTCTTCTGAGTTTGGACCTTGCTGCTGTGCGCAGCCCTGATGGGTGTGGAGTCAGCTCTTTAACCTCTAGGCAATCTGGTTCTGTCTCCTTGCTGGTGTTCTCTGTGTTCTGCAGCACCCCATTGACAATGGCATTTTGTAACTTCTTATCTTCTCGTTTGCTCCCACCACTGCCCCCAACCCCAGTTCCTCCAGGTCCCCCTATAGACTCAGTGGGATCTCTGTCCAGGGCTAGGAAGACAGTAGAGTACCGGCGTTCTCGCTGCTTGGCCGATTGGTGCACAGAATAGGTGATGAAACAGAGACTGGGGGTGCACACCATTATGATCTGGAAGACCCAGTAACGTATATGGGAGATGGGAAAGGCGCGGTCATAGCAGGCCTGGTTACAGCCGGGCTGCAGGGTGTTGCATACAAACATGGTCTGCTCATCATCGTACACCGTCTCCCCCACAATGGCCACAATGAGTATCCGGAAGATCACCACCACAGTCAACAGGATCCTGAGCAGAGGAAAAGGAGGGGGGAAAAGAGGTTCTCATAGGCTAAGTCACTGATGGGAAGTCCCTGATTTTTCCTGTTCCAATGTTTACCAGTCCTTGAATAGGGGAGCTGTCCACCCTTGAGTGGTACTGAATTGAGAGCCTAGAAAACAACTTTATCTTTTCCTTGTCTGCTTGGTGCTGGTAAGCTTGGAATACTTCATATTACAAGGATCTCACATCTGCACAATTTCATGCACTGTTTATGGTCCTTTTGCAGTGTATATAATTGACCTCTATATGCAGAATGTCTACAGACTATAAACATATCTTTACTCTGGCCAATGCATACAGAATCTTTTACAGAGGATGTGTGTTTGAGGGTCTACACATGGGATGAGCATTGAACCCTACATGTGTAAGTCCTGGTCTCAACATATAGAACTTGATTGTCACTAGAAACAGTTGTGAATACAAAATTCACGTCTATATACATAGATAACTGCAGGTAGATATAAATATGAATAAATAAATATATATCCATACATATACATATGTGTATATATACATACATATAGATATCCCCCAAAAGAAGTCAGCTATGTGTGTGGCTCTCTGGCATTAAGTTTTAACGGAGGACGGGGGTCTAGCTTAATAAATATCTGTTAAAGAATGATGCATCTGCTGTGATGAGCAAATCCATCTCCCCACTTGCCCTTCTCCGTCCAAATGCAATTCTGCCTTCCTTGTAGATTCTATTTAGGGAACCAGATGGAGAGTGGCGCTGACTCTGGAGAGTGGGGGCTACCAGGACTGAGTCCACAAGTCCTTTTCTGATGAGGGAAGCGTGAGCCCCTTCCCCTGTGGTGCTTTATAGAGAAAGTATGGGGGAGCTGGTCAGGAGTAACTGAAGGAGGGGGCGTCACTGGGCTTCGGGTAATCCCTTAATGCAGGCAACACTGACACTTGGACAGAGAATGGGGAGGAGGCAGAGGGTTGTTTGGGGGTCTGGGGGATCGTTAGAGACGGGAGAAGATATTCCCAAGGGCCGCCCGACGGGCCCGCTGAGGTCTGGCTTGGTGCCCTTACCTCCCGATCATAGTGGAGTGCTGCTGCACCGCGGCTTCCAGCAGCCTCTCCAAGATGGTCCATTCCCCCATCGCTGTGCATCCGGAGGCAGCAGACAAAGACTGGGCAGTACCGGGCACGATCCTGGTCCTGGCCCCTCCCCGGGCCGCACCTCCTGACCGAGAGCGAATTGCCCCCAATTAAAGAAGCAAACAAAAATGTTTTAAAAAAAATATCCACGAGCCCCTCCCCCTTTTATTGCACTTAAAAAAGGGGAGTAGGGGGAAAGAATCTATGCGCGACCCGACCAATGGGGCTGTTGGCGCGGTGCGGAGGAGCTGGCCAGCACCTCGCTGCCGTCCGGGGATCAGGTTGACTCCCGCAGTCTCCCGGTGAGGGGCGGGGCTGGGTGGCAGCGTGCAGGTGGCCGAGCTCCTGCCGGCGGGAGACCGCTCTCTGCTCCGCCTTCCCCTCGATCTTGCGGTCTGGGGGAGGGTCCGTGCACCGGCCCCAGTGCCTGTCACTGGAGCAGGCACCTGGCGCTCCCGCGCTGCTGCGGCGCGCAGAGCTGGCTGCGGGGCTGGGGAATCCGCGGCCACCGCCTCTAATCCGCCCTTAAGTAGTCTCCGCCTGCGTCACGCCAGGTCGGCGGAGGGGAGCAGAGCGCGGCGTGCCACTGTCGCCGAGCGTCGGAGCCCGAGGGGCCGCGGCAGCGCGCTGCGAGGGGGAGGAGACGGTCTGGAGTCCCCCGCTGCGCCGGTGATAGGGAGACCGAGGACTGCAGCGCCCCTCGGGGCTTCTGGGGCTCCCAGGTAACCTCACCTGCCCACCGGCCTCCCGCAGGAGGAGCAGACACGTTGGTGAGTGAGGAAGGACCCGAGTAGGCAGCTTAGCTTGTCCCCCACGCCTGTCCCTCACCTTTAGCTTTGGGCCTTCTGAGACGCCACTGAAATTCCTTTTCTAGATCTTGGTCCTGACTGGGGGAAGGGCTCTTTTTAGTCCTTACCGGGAGAGGACAGCCTCCGACGAGAGTACTGCAGAGGGTCCTGGCTTCGGTGGGTTGATCAGGTGCTGGAGTGAGACTCCCCGCTAGCTTAAATGCAGGTGTGAAGGTGTTCTGAGCATGAAGATCTGGGTGCAAAGTACTTGCCAACCAAACAGGTGCCTAGCTGCTAGCCAGTGGACTGGCCACGATGAGTTCTCATTTCTCCCTGCACAGATTAGGAGCCTGTGTTTTTATTTGCACGTAACCGATGGGAACAGGGGGTCCTCTCCAGGTTAGTACAGTCCAGGCTGAATTTAAGGAGACCCAGTATTCATCTAGCTGAAACAGCAACTCACAATCTCACTCCACCCCCGACTCTCCTTATTCAGCATTTGCTTTTCTCCCTCTCTCAATGATTCTAGAATCAGTTTTTAAATTTACATTTTGTTGTTAGTTTCATCTACAGCACCTACTTAATTGGTCCCAGGAAAATTGAAACAATCACACCAGGCTGCTAATTAGCTTAGGGTCAGTTTTAGGAGACCTCAAAGTTGGGAGTGTTTCATATAAATACCAAAAGCACAATGAGTAGGGACTTTACATCCTTACAAAAATCTGACAGGGGAAAGATTGTTAGCGGGGTCTTAGGAATATAATGCAGCCTTAATTACCCACAGGGAGCACACACATATGTGCATTATATAAGCTGGACTAGGATGCACTTTGACTCTAGAACAACTGAATCGTTGGTATCTAGTAGCCCTGAGACTGGGAGGAAGGGTGCGGAGGAAGCCCTTCTACATGCATTATGCTTACAGATGGAGCACAAGCTTGAGTGTCTGATGACTGCACCAAGGTTGTTTCTTGGAGCTGACACTTGTAGCCCGAGGAAGCAGATCTTCATGGATGGCAGTAAAGGAGTCCACAAAGATGGAGAAATAGGGTATAAAGGGAATGCTATTGTTAAAGCAGGGGTGGCTTCACCCTCTTGGCAGAAAAATATGTATGAGAATGGAGGCAGAAAGAAATCTTTCCAGTTGGCTAACAGATGGGATGGTGATTCCCTCATCTCAAATGTGATGCACATTCCCAGGTTTTCTGTTTGGTCCCTGGAGTCCATATATTTGCTCCATCTATGGCAGACATTATTGAAGTAAAAATTGTAGAGAGAAAATGAATGAGGAACTACCAAGGGCAATCTGTTTAACTGCCATTAAATGCCCCCTAATAAGTTGTATAATGCAAAATCATCTTCTGTGCTTATGTCTTGCCAAATCTTTATAGTGAGTCTAATGCAAATTTCATTCACTAAGTTATAACTGAATGGTTAATCATCAGTTTACTATTTTTACTATGCTTCAATATGACACATAGAAGACACACATGTACCACTGATATATAAATACTCAGTGTGCTTCTATGTAGAACCTATGATATACTGAGTAGTTTGCTTTTAAGGCTACAAAAACTTATTCTTAACACCATATTTTAAAAACAACTGTTTTATTATATTTATTAAAATTTTAGTTGTCAGCTGCACTGCAATAAATAGAAAAAGCACAAACTCTAATTTCTGTGGAACTATATGAAAAAAATTAGAAAACTGAAATTATAGACAGTAAGAGGCCTCCATGGGACAAAAGCAACCTTAAAATATTCATCACTTTAAATTTCATGATTTTAAATTTCAAACTTTTGTTTTTTCAGAGGTCAAAATCCTGTCAAAAGAATATGTGCAAGAGGTGTAGAAATGATGTCTAGAAAGAAAATGCAAATTCCACTGCAAAGATTGGGACTACAAAACCCAGAGAAGATCCAACCTTTAACTATTTTTATTTTCAGAAATCATGCAGAAGTTGTTTAATATATCTATGTTTCATTTCCTCTTTTCAGCCCAATCTACCCCGTTTTCAATGAATAATTTGCCTTGATTGTTCTTCATAACATATAAAGAGGTTCTGTATACAGCTGGACATCTCTGAGCTTCCCCGAGGCATTATTTCATCTGGCTAAATTCTGACTTCTCAATTCCCCTCTGATTGAAGCTACTTAATTAAGTCAACTGCAAAGTTCCTCCCATTAATTCTAATTTGAAGCTCATTGTACAACACTAAAGCAAAGGCATAAGATGGAAATCAAATATAGAACATATAATATTAATCTTAGTGTTCAGCAGGCCACCTGGGTAGGTAAAGAACACAGACACCTACTTCCCACATCCAATTGCTAAATTAAAGTCTATGGAAGTAAGGGTGAAGTTTTGGAGTTGCTAACAAGCTCTTGTCACTTGAAATCTAGAGAACTTTTACTTTCCATATTTGCTAGTATAGGAATGAATCCTGGAAATAAGGAAATCTCACCCCCGTTCTTCACAGCTCTGAAAACAGGCCTATCTGTGACTGGGTAAGTGAAAGTTCATGGGGCTGCACAGGGGGATCTCTTGGCTTTGGTTCTCTTCCTGAACCATAAATCCTTAGGGAACAGAGTGCATAATTCATGCTCATTGTTTCTTTAGCATACACCTGGAAGTGTGGTGTTCAGAGTCTTTGGGAAGATTGACATAATGTAAAATGGTGAAGACTGTGACCTTTAAAGTGGTTCTGATCATAGAGACATATGTACCTGTGAGTGTCTAAATCACAGTGACTTCTGGTTTGTTCACTTTGTAAATCCCTATCTTAGCAAATAGCAATGCCCATTAACCAAGTAGGAAAAGCATTGTCTCATCTAGAAGGAAAGCTTCTGAGACTAGCAAAGAGTGTGGGTTGACTGTTCTGACTCAGGAATGGATTGTAGAGTTACCAATAATGATACATTTTACTACGTGGTTGTGTCTGGGTGTGTTCTTATCTTTAAATATGCTAAAACCTCATTTTATTCAACCACAGGTTCCACATGAGCCTGTTACCAACTTGACTTCAAATATCTGGTAAGTGAGACCTCACTGGAACTCCATAGTTTTGACCTCTGCTTTACTGGATCATAATGCTATTGGAAGGACAGAGGACATGTATTCCTCATGATGCTTTCCATGGTGTCTTTAGCATTGTGGAGATCAAGCATTTGTTGGAGGAGTATGGTGAAGACACTCAGGCTATCTAGTGCTTGTGACCTAGGAGAGCTACATGCCCCCTGATTGGAGGTGATCTCAGTTCTCCTCTATGGTATAATTACATTTAAGACATAGAGGAAAGGTGGTCCATTTGCCATGTGGGGATCTTAACACATTAGGGGTAGCCTGGATTACAAAGGGGAAAGCCTTCTTGCTGCTCTCTTCTCCACTCTTTCCTCTTCACTGTGGTCCTGGCACTTGCTAAACTAACCCAGGGAATGCTGCAGCAGCAAAGCTTAGCCTGCAGCATCAGCATCAGCAAGGTGGCCTTGGAAAGCTGATCAGAGCCTTGGATACATTTCTCCTGGGAAGCACCAACATCTGCAGTCTCCTGGGATTTGTGTGATGGGGAGAGACTCCATTCTGTTTTGGATTGGTCTCCAGGTCAAAGTCCTTTACACTTCATTCAGAAACAGAGTTGACTGAGATTCACTTCCCTCAGTGGCCTACAAGCATCTATTCACCAATGAAAACATCAAATTTTCTTCTGAAGGGATAAACCTAACCTGTTTAGGAGACTTACAGGAATATAAATTGGAAATGAAATTTACTCTATGTCTCCCTTTTTATCTTTTGTGTCTCTTCCATATGTTTAAATCTCAGCCCAGATTTTAGGGAAATGATCGCCTTGAAAAATGCACAAAATTTACTGTCTCAAAGGGGAATAAAGCTGTTCAACCTACTGATCATAAACAGTCCTAAATATGGCCAGAATCTGTTGCCATCTCCTGAGCAGAAATTCCAAACTGTGACTGAGCCCCAAGAAATCATGTTTCTAACTGATGGTCTTCTTCCTGCTAGTCTTCTGAATAAAAGAGTAGGTATTCCTTTAAAAAAATCACATGTACAAGTTCCACATTCCCTGTGCAAGGTATATAGAAAATATATAGTAATATCTCAGGGATTAACGTAATATGGCATTGTGGCCAAAGCAGATGTGTGAAATCACAGCAAATAAATTAACACTCCATTAAGAATCAAATCAGCCCCGCTGACACATAATCTTTCCCGTTTATGTCAAGTCGTGATTCCCATTCACACTGGGAGCTTCCCAGGGAGGCTCATTAGACCCACGGGAAGAGATTTCTTTTAAGTCAAAGCTATTCAGAAGTTATTCAGCTACAGTGCCAAAGAGTCATCCTGGCGTCTGGGTACCCGCCTCTCCACGATCTCTTTGTCACTGTCCACCCAGAGCCCCAGCCACGCAGGATATAGCTAGGCTTCCTGCTGAGTTTCCAGTCTGTATAAAAGAGATGAGGAAATTACAGGGGAAATACATGTGGGTAGGGCCTGCCCTTGAGAAATTGTAAAACTGGGAGAATATCTTTTGGTTGTCATGTGCACCCTGCCCTTGCTTCTTTTACACCAGAGTGTGATGCTGAAAGTCAGACCCAAGAGCTGAGTTCTTCCTGCTGCCTTAGATAAGCTCCCGATATTGTAAGATGGGATTGGAATGAGTCCCCAAGGGGAGACATCTCTAAAAGCTGGAGCTTATGTTCAAGTACCACGTTAACTCTACTGGTTGCCTGCTTCTTGACTTCCGGAAGTTCAGCCAACATCTGTTTTGTCAGGATTCTAGAGACTGGTCATTGTTTTTTCAAAGGTTGTTTTTGACAACCAGCTTGACTGCTGCTCTCTCTCTTAGGTACCCACAGCAAAGACTGCTATAGAGAGTCTCTTGTTTCTGCATCTGAATAAGACTAGAGTGGGACCATTCTCGCTTGCCAGTCATTCCATGTTCAGTCTAATTCAGTGGTTCTCAACCCATGGGTCATGACCCCTTTGGAGGTCACATATCAGATATTCTGCATAACAGATATTTATCTTACAATTCATAACAGCAAAATTACAGCTATGAAGTAGCATTGAAATAATTCTGTGGTTGGGGGTCACCACAACATGAGGAGTTGTATTAAAGAGTTGCAGCATTAGGAAGCTTGAAACACTTGGTATATACTCATGTTTCTACCCTGATTATAGACGTACAAATACTTCATACGTAGGACTCACCTTGAATCCATACCCTGTCATTGACTCCTCCATTACTGCACTTCACTCACTCCCACGCCTTACTCCACCACCACAAAGGAAAGTAATCTGATAAAATAACACACACGGGGTGTTAATAACTGATAACCACTTAATGTATTATCCCTCTCGGAGGCTTTATCCTTATTTAAGAAGTTGTAAAACCTTCATCCAAAGAAATGAACATTTCAAGGTAGTTTTTCAAATGCTATGCTTTAAGAAGTAAATAGCTATTTGGAAGCAGGGGATAACCAAGCCTTTCCAAATGATATACCACATAAGCACTTGCTTCCTATATTGATCCCTAAAGGGCCCAACTTGTGAAAATAGGGAATTAGACAAATGCAATGATTCCTATATTTACTGCATCTTAAAATTACCAAGGAGCTTTAAAATCCAGCAATGTCTGAGCTGTCCTCCGGACCAATTAAATCAGCATTCCTGGAAGTGAAATATATGCATTCCTATTTTCAAAAGAAAAAAATTTAGCTTATTCTGACTCCAATATGCAGTCAAATTTGAGCCCTACTGCAATAATGTACACTACTAACTGCAGAGTAGCGATAGCTTTTAACAAGCTCAGTGAAGTGGGCTTTTTCCTCAGGATAGGAATGGCTGCTGCTCGACACAAAGCCAGAATTTCATTCTGAAATGTGTTCATGTGGTTCTGTAAGTACTTAATATAATCCACACAGGCTAAGTAGTTAGTTGCTAAACTGAAAACACCCATCTCATTTCATCTCAGTCCACTCCTGGCCATCTGGTCCCCAGTATTTCCATTACAGGGCCATGTGTGTATTAATGAAATGATTGCATCCGATTACATCTTTTATTCAGAGCACAAGAACAGTCCATGAATTTTCTTCTCCAGCATTACTGTTTCTGCCACAAAGTCAACAATTAAGTTATTCTGTTTCATGCAGAGGTGGAATTGTTGCTCACTAAGGTAAGAAAATAAATCAAATATGTTGCTGCTGATAATAAAATTATAATTTTGCTGCCTAGCAACCATAGGCTAGAAACTTCAATCAAAAGTGTAACTCCATTTTAAAATGTCCAAAATGTAGTTTACATTACTGATCAGCTTGTTCCATCTGGTGTAAAAGAGGGACCACCAAGCAACTGAGCTAGTCCCTTTGCTCTGTGATTTCTCTCATATCTCTAAGATAGGATAATCAGAGGGGCACATGCCTGGATTGCATTTCTGTGCAGTTGTTTGGTTGAGTAGGCATCAGAATGAACAAAAATGAATGGGAGGTGACTGAATGAACAAATAGTGTCGTATTCACTCTATTAACTAATAACCTTCTTTCCTATCCCCCACTTGTCAGAAGCATATTTTTTTAAAAAGTCAGATGTTCACTAATATCTATTATGTGTCTGTATTCATCAACTCAACCACATTCTCCCAAATCACTAGTTCTTGATCTCTGCACGTGCAGATCTCTGACCCTCTCATTCATACTTTGTTCAGTGAGACTTATTCATTGCTGCCTGTGTTCCAGGAGGAGAGCATAGTGAGCAAAGCAACATGGTATGTGACTTCATTGAATTTAAAATCCAGTAGGAGAGACATTTGCATTTTAGTCAAATAGTAAAAAATCAAATAATCTCAAATGCCAAAACTTAAGTTTAAAACTGTGGCTTAAAAAAACAAACAAACTTTTAAGTGATAACTTTGAGATATACAGTCCATGATGTATAACGGAGCAGGGAGAGGCTGACCAACCCTGTGAGAAAGGGTTGGGTGATGAAAGATACTCTGTATAGTTGAGATATAAAGGGGCAGTAAGTGAAACTCAAGTGAAACAGCGGGAAAGCAGCATTCTGAGCTGGAGACTAGGACAGAACAGGCCTCAGATAAGATACACCAGCATATTCAAAGAACTAAGTGGTCTCCATGCCTGAGCAAAGCAGAAAGAGGCTTGAGACAAGGCTGGGGAAACAGGTAGGCATCAATTAAAGCAGAACTTAATATGCTAGGCTGAAGAAACTTTCGTGTCTTTCTTAATAGTCATACACACCATTTGAAGGCATGTAAGAAAGGAGGGATACAATTAAGTTTATTCCTTAAGATTAAAAAGTATTTATGTGTATATGTATGTGTCTGTGTGGGTATGTGCATGTGAGTGTACCACCCTCAGAGATCATAAGAGGGTGTCTGATGCCTTGAAGCTGAAGTCACGGGAGATTGCGAGGTACCCCAAGTGGGTTCTGGGAATCGCTTGGCTCTTCTGTAAAAGTAGCAAGTGTTCTTAATCTCTGAGCCATCTCTCCAGATAGAGTTAGGTTTGTTTATTAAAATCCAGTGGCACACTCTATTTATTGGCACACTCTATTTACATTACAATAAGATTTGGATAGAGAGATGTAATTTTTTCTGTGCTCAAAAAGCTGACAAGAAGTCAATTAAGGAGGGCATGTTTATTTTTTGTTTAAACTTTGAGGCAATACTCTTATGCTGACAGAGACATGATGGCAGGATTCTTAGGCTGGATGGTCACTTTGCACTCAGTAGGAAACAGAGAATGAATGGAAAGTGGTACTTAGCTATAAAATGCTACCCCATCCTAAATCAGTGACTACTATGCCTCCCAAAGTTCCCACAGTAAGGCTACACCTCCCAAAGTTTTCATAACTTTCCCAAATAGTGTCTTCTGCAAATGTTCAAGCATGCAATTGTATGCAGGGCATTTTACATTCTGATCACAACAGAGAAGGCAAAAATAGAGTCAAGGAAAGAGTGGGATACTGTTATGGCAGATCCAGCTGGTTAGACTCAGTGTGTA